TCTGACTAATAGCACAGCTCTCACTGTTACCAGCTCAGATAAGATTCCTCACCAGCCTAAAAGAGGGCAAGTCATTAGCAGTTCACCAGTATGACACACTCTGACTCAGGAATCGCCTTCACTATGGCTTCAGCTTCCAGTAAAATGCAACAGTTCTTCTGGAGCAAAACCAATTTCAAATAATTAGATTAAAGGAGTAGTTAAAGAAATATCTCTGAAAATAATAATAATAATAATAATGGAGTAAGGTTATAGTTTAAGAGGACATTCAAGTGAACTTTAAAAAGTATTCTAACAGATTTTTGTATTTAAAAATAAATTAGAAATAGTTATTCAGACTTTCAGGTTGGATACCAAGCTATACTGAGACAACAGTGTGTGTGTTTCGGTTATCAGCAGACCTCCTTTAGCTCATGCACTCTTTCCCTGCTGATCAAAGCAATTGGGAGAGTTCAGCCAGGGTGGGCTAGCTCATTCCTGTTCTCTCCTTCAGGGTAGTTTTGCTGTCCTCTAATTGCTTCCTGGGTTGCCTAATTTCTGTCTGATCTTTCTCCTTTAGTCACCTTTGATGTTCTGTTGATGTTTGTTATAGGATCTCTAGTTGAGATGAAGTCATTTTAGAGAGTAAGACATTTCTGCAAAGGAAAGTGTAAGGAAATTAGGTGCTAAAAAGAGAACAACAGCAGCAGAAGTGTTCTTTGCTCTGAGTAGCAGTGAAATCATGGATCTTGATTAGTAACTGGAATTTTGTTTTGTGACAAAAATTTCATGTCTGCCATGATGCTATCTGCCTACCGACAATCGCATTTCACAGTGGCTCATCAAAGAGCACTGCTGCCCTCCCAGATGCCAGGTTTAGATAAAACAGAGCAGAACAGACAGCCGCCTTAAGAAACAAATAGAGAAGAAAGCACCAGTGAAACCAGTAGCAATGCTGGTTCCTTTTGCATGTAAATGAACATAGCTAAAAAAATAAGAAAAATTATCTTCAGTTACAGAGATAGTAACTATATTCTCAATATTCTAATGTCCTCCACTAATCATTCTGTCCTACATTCATTCACAAATATGGCATTAGGTTGTTGGTTTGTTTGTTTACTTTCCATAGTCTGTGGAAAACAAAATGATTCCCATCAAGTTCTGACTGTGACAGTATCTTTAAAATATGTCTGGGTCCATGAACTGGGATTACGTTATCTAGTCCTAGCATGTCCCTTAGTGGAAAAAAAAAAATTGAGAAAATTGGAAAATTTTAGATTTTTTTTTTTTCTTTCAGTTGTTCTGTCATCAGTTCTCATCCTGTTCCTCCCTATTTTTTTACTTTTCTCCTAGGATAACAGCAGCTAAAAAAAGACCAACAGAAATTAGCGAGGATGAAAAGGGAAAGTGTTCTTGTTTTAAATTGTTCTTTTTTTCTTTTATCAAAAAATGAAATGTTAAAAACAAGTGATTAAAATCTTCCATTCACTTCAAATGTTTTCTAGCAAAGATATGCCATATTGCTACCTGAAATTTTAATTTTATCAACCACAAAAATGAAAACATTTTTATTGAAATGTACACTGAAGGCTTTTTACTTGACAAATATAGAGAGAGCCATTAGCAAGATGCTATACTGTAATTTGCACAACATTTTTTCAATTACTCTGAAATATTTGAATTGAAATTCAGTTAGCTGAAGTCTAATCCTGAATTTTGGGGAGAAACAGAAACAAAAGAAAACTTGTCCTCTTTTAACAGGAATCTGTGAGGCACCCAATAATTGACTGGCATTTAAATAAAAAGCATTTGGCCTTAAAATAAATCTCAGTGTAATTCATAGAATCATACTGAAACATGTGCTTTTAGGATTTTATTTTGTAACTTCCCAAGAGGCACCAAGATTAAAAGGAAACAATCATCAATTCTTTGTTTCAGACTTACTGTTTCATCCTTCTTAATGTTTTCCCTGTCCTTTCTCTCCACAGTACAGAGTTCATAGGTCTTAGATTTAAAAAAATAGAATGTTGGAGGGTGTTCTACATAGACAATCACAGAACTGTTTGAGTTGGAAGGGACCCTTAAAGGCCATCCAGTCCAATTCCCCTTCAATGAGCAAGGACACCTACAGCTAGAGCAGTGTGCTTGCAGCTCTGTCCAGCCTGGCCTCAGGCATCTCCAGAGATGGGTCTCCTGCTACCTCACTGGGCAACCTGTTCCAATGCCTCACCACCCTTTTTATTCCTTTTCAAGGTGTTCTGAAGCATTTCCTGTTTTAAAAATTGAATTACTCTTGCTCAAAACCTGTTTTCTTGTGCTTAAAATCTTTTTTGCTTTCTATGGGGGATCTTACCAGAAGAAGAATGCATGGGCATATCACCTTCAAAGCCAGCTCTGGACCTTGTCACACTCATGTTTCAAAGTCCTGCTCATTACTCTCATCAGTTCTCTTGACTTCAGTGAAATTGGGCTGGTTGGTAAGTTCAAAACAGATGATTTAGTAGAGGAGTACTAATAATGACATAGCATATTCACATGCATATTTTAGATATGGACTTGTTTGTAATCAGCATTTAATTAAGTTTATGAGATCTCTTAGGAAACAGTGGGTGAAATCAAATTACAGCTTTACAAAGCAAGGTTTAGCCAAAGTACTAAGAAAAAGTTTTCCCATGATGCAGCTCTGTTAAGACAGCTTCTGATCATGTGTAATGGTTTGCATGATTTCTTTTTATAGATAAGGTCACACCATGTGCAATGCTAGAAACTCCATCTGAATCAACACGCCTATTCAGACACAACCTTTGCCATCGATATTGCTTCCTGATGATTTACCAACCTGCAAAAAAGAGATTCTCCTTTCATGTAAGGTAATTCAAAAGGGATTGTAACCCTGTACAGTCATGCAAGAGATGAGTGCACAAACTCAACAGTTTAACCAATCATGCAATTTTTGTTTTCAGGCATATATATTTATACACACACACACGACAATTTTGTTCCTCGTTTTAAGTATTTTGCATCAGCTGACCTACAGGAAATGCAATTGTTTAGAAAAACAACCCCTTTCTCTCTCGTGGAATGAAATATTCTTTCAGAAAGAATGTATTCCAGACCTCCCTCCTGCCCTATAGATCCAGCTTCATTTATTTTCAGAAATTGTTCTCACATTTACTCTGATAATCACAGACACAGAAAATGAAGAGGAAGATAACAGGCAACACCATTCAAAAGATGAAAACTTATTTTTTGTTTTGTTTATTTTTTCTTACAAGAAAATACTATGTAAACAAAAGAGATAAAATGTGAAACCTGGCATTTCTTCTCAAACAGGCTTAAATTAGTTAAATCTACTGCTATTACTGTTGACATGCTAGTTGCCTGGGTAGAACTGCAAAACTAGGTTTTACTGTGAACATTTATTTCTGCACTTTACTAAAAGTACCCCTGTCAGAGAAAAGTGAGCTAAATGCTAAATTTCATTTCCTGAGATATACCTGATCCATTTTCTTGTGAAACTTGAAGCTGTGGAGTATCAGCATTTTTCAACACTTAAATGAGCCCTCCAAAAAATGCGTCTCGGTATGCAGACATGAGAGGTGAATAAGTAATGTGTCATAGGTACTTCAGCTCCTTAAACTACACATTAACAATAAGGTATTACTCATGTCAGAATGCAGACAATACTTCTACCTTGGCTTCAACATGCCTGTTGGTGGAGGTTCTTACATGTGATCTGATTAAATGTGGAAGTGGATCATATCTGGGGCATCCATCTGGGCAGAGCCTGAGGCCCCCGGAGATTTGTGAGGCAGCAAACTCCAGTTTGGGTTTACCCGCAGTTATGCATACAGTAGTCTCTTGTGTTAATGTTGCAAGGAAAAAATAAATCTAAGCTTTCATGCATATGGAGAGAGTAAATCTCTGTCAGAAAGACATTTCAGGTCTTTCAAATTGTGTAAAGAAAGATTCAAATGTGTAAAACTCTCAAAACCTGCCTGTGTGAATCCAGTAATGACTTGTGCATTACTGTTCTCTCTTTGTAAATGCTGTGGTCATTGGAGAATGGGATAGAAGCAATTCCATATGTTAGGAGGTCATCAAATGGCTCATTCTGTATAAACTATATTATATACTAACAGCACATGGCTTAGATCCTCCTACTTAATATTACATATTTACTTAAATTAATTCCGAAGTAACAAAATCATTTAAAAATCACCTCAGCCTGCCATGATCACCACAAAAACTGGGAAAAGCACGCAGCTATTTGTTCTGTTCCAGTTATAAATAGTCACTGTAAATCAACGACATTTTTTCCCATGACAAATGGCCACAAAAGAGGACCTAAACTAAGTGTTCTCTAGGGCATAATCTGAAGCAGTTCATGCAGTGGTCAACCCAGTAACATTGCCTGCCTGAAAGCAGCTGCTGGTCTCAGCTCCTGAGGAGCACTCCACATCTGCAGCCTCAGAGCCATCACAGGACGAGCACCACCGGGGGAGACATGAGCAAGGGACACTCTTAGCAGAAGCTACGCAATCTGTTCCAGAAACCTGGCTCAAAGCTCTACTCTTCAGGGCAGTGCTCATTCTTTCAAGTGTCAAATGAATATTGAAAGCTTGAGCAAAATCATGGGAGCCCACAAGTGTAAGGTTAGGCAACACATGCACAATTTCTGGGCTGGAGAAAGTTATTAAACTGCGGTCCCAATGGTAAAGTTGGCCACTCCTCAGACAGATGCTCAAAAGGAAGTGTGCCTGGCCCTAATGCCCAGTGCACATCAGGAAACAGTATATAATTCACTTTTTTTTTTTTTTTCCAGTGACACGATTTTTGTTTGACTTTTGAGTGTTAAGAACTTCTTATTTTCAGATCATGAGAGAAGGATTCATTTCAGTTTAAGATTAAAGCTCCTCTCATCAGCAATCTAAGCTGTACAGTAAAAGATGGAAAAAATTCAGACTGAACAGAGCCAGGAGTTTAGTGCAAAAAACAAGTAATAAATACAATTGCTATTAGGTGAATCTCAGAAAACACAAAATGGCTTCATAACTTCTACTGAGTGTGCCTGCATTCTTCTTCTTCTGGTAGTATTGATTCCGTGGTACAGATGCTTCTGTCTTTTGCCTTATTCTGTCCAGTTTACGTGCTGAAAAGAACACTGTTATTTTTGATGGTCTGACTCTGTCCTGTTTTTTACTTTTGTTTTTTACTGACCCTGTGTACCTGTTCTGCAGCTTTTTTCTTTTCTGTTTCTTTCCTTCCCACAGACATTCTAGCTGATCATGCTCCTTGGAAGCAGTTGTGAGGAGTGACTTTCACTGTGCAGATTGTGAGCCACAGGGAATCCGCAAGTTATTCCTTATAGTCAATGAGAGGTAGATTTAAAAAAACAAGCAAACAAACAAACAAACAAAAACAAAACAAAACAAAAAAAACAAGCATGCTTTTGGCAGGGTTAACTGTTCTGTTTGAGATTAATGCCTCCATTGAAAAAAAGTGCCTCCAATGCAAACTCTTGCACCAAAATAAGATTTGACTTCCTTCCTGACAAGTGTTAAACAAAGAACTGATTGCATGTGTTCCATTACACATAAACTCTCCCTTTATCAATGAAGTGAACCATTTTACCATATATGAGTGACAAAAAGGGCTCAGAGTTATTTGTGAATGTAGTTTCTACAATCCTTTCCCCCCCCCCTCGCCCCCCCGTGTTTGGTATTGCTGTGGCAAATCTGATTCATAATCTTCAATAAAAAATAAATGACCAAAAAAAGAAAAATTAATCAGCACCAAATTGATGTACATGAAGAACTTAATCACAGGAAGGATTAAATAAAAAGGAGATGGCTGTACATTGCTTAGGGCAAATAGAAAATATTTTCTGTGTTCTGAAACCTGATTAAAATGTAACAGTTGATTACAGATCTAAGAGTCATTATTGAGCAGGCAAGAAAAACTGAAAATAAAGTGTGATGATGTAACAACATATGGAGGGCTTGGGGGTTAATAACAACAGAGGGATTTAATGTTATGTATGAAAGCTTTGCTTGGTATACTGGGCACAGTAGGGTCGAGAAGGATTACGGTTAAGAAAGTTCAAGGAGAATTATGTCCAGAGGCACGATGAAGGGCCTGCTGGTCACAACAGTGGGAAGATAGTCTTGTGAGAATAGAGGAGTTGGCTTATGTCCTTTGGCAAGAGATTTCTCAGTGGAAATACTCAAAGGAAACAGAAATTAGAAGTGGATATTAACTACTTCAGCTATCACTGATCAGTTGACTACTAATGTAGAGAACATCATGCCCACTGATACAATGAATTAGGTCTCATTGGGCATTCTTGCTTTCTGGTCACTGTGATCCATTTTACTAGAGATGAGGTAACAAAATCTCAGGTTTAAAAGAATAGCTAAGTACATGTTTATAGTTGATGTATAATGATTTGTCTTCTTCCTATGAAAGAACATTGCCATGTTTAAGCCTTTTGTCCTTGAGCTTTAGGCTTTATGTGAATAATTTCATTCCACAAGAACGGGGACACTAGACACAGGTCTAGGATACTAACATATTTAATCTGTTGCCCATTGTAACACTGCAATGCAATGGAAAGCATAGCAATGACAGCATAGTAGCAAACTCTTAGGCTGCAGCAAGAAAGAACATGCTCAAATACAGCAGCAGCTATAGATACAGAAACAAAGACTATGCTTACCTATAGAAGGCCTCAGGTGGGCAGGGATCTCCAGCAAAATATCCTTGACTCCATTGCCAACCCTTAAATGAGGTCTGAGAAGGGGTGGAACCAGGACCCATCCCCTTCTGGTCACTCAGGTGTACTGCTTAGTTGGCCCTGCTTTCTCACCAGGTGCTCCATCACTGGTTCAGGCCATGGCTTAGCATTTCTGCTAAACCCATCTTTCTCTAAAAGCTGAATTTTGGCTATTCTCGGTCTCAAAAATTTTGAGAGTTGCCTGCCAACTCTGTTCCATTTGTTATTATTTAATTTGGTGAAATAATGTAGTGAAAAGTTTTTAGCACCTCTGGTGATAACAAAAATTTGAACTGTGTTTGAATGACATGTAAAAGTTTCTTTGTGCATCTTGAAGTTTCTTTGTGTTCAATTTTTCTCAGAATTTCTTTAACTTTCTTTATTCCATGGCCTGTTCTGCTAATTTTCTTTAGCATAATCCTGATACCAACAAAACAACCTATCTGTTGGATACATGAAGCAGAGCATTAGTCTTCTACATGCATTTTTAGGCCACATGTCTTAAATTCCTGTTTGATAGAGATCATTAGAAAAAAATTACAGTTGTCCTCTAAAAGATGTTCACTTCTTCCACATGTTCACCTCTTGCAGTCTCTCCCACTTTTTTTTAACTTTTTCATTTTGTTACTTTCAGAAAAAGTCTTACAAGAACATGACAAAATCAGGATCTAATGTGAAAAACTTTCTATTATTTCATTTATAGTAAGCGTAACAAAAAACAGAAGAGATCTGGGAGATCATGATTGATAATAAATTTTTGTGATGCTAAAAAATAATATGAGCTTTTCTAAAAAGTTGCGTTACATACACAAAAATATAAACATATTGCATTGTGTATAACAAATTCACACACAGAGTCATACTCCTTGCTGCGATGTCCTCAGTTGGCAGACATGATTTTATCTGCTTTTTTTATTTTGCATTCTATTCTGCCAGTTGACCTGGACCCTTTGTATTCACTCCCTTCCCTCAACCAACCAGCATTTGCTAGAGACAGAGACAGCTGAGAATTTGTTTGGCCGCTCCTATATTGGTCACTTAAGATGATCTCAAAGGAATTCAATTAAGAGGAATGGCATGCAGAATTAATTATTGATAACACTGCATAACGCTGGACATAATATGCATGCAATACAGGAACTAAGCATATGGTAAAGTCATAATTGAGCTTATAAATCAATTCATTGCTAATCTCCTGTGTAATTACTTTTGTTTGTTTCCCAGGAAGATATTTTAATTAGATTGTTTAAAAGTGATAATGAAATTGAAACCAGTTTTTAGCACTTTGCAGTCATAACATTGGTTACATTGTGGTGCAGATCACAGTTAATACTGAACATGACAGCAGTTACTGCAGGTCACTCTTCCTGCCACAAGCAGCGCCTACCAAAAGTGTCAACTGATCCTTGTCCTTCGCCTCTTCAGTGGACAGGCTACATAAGCTCTGGTTTGAAAAGTCTTACTGCAGGTCAAAAGAAATTGAAAATCATCCCATCTGAAGTTCATGTTCAATTCATCATTTTTGAGTCTGAGGACCTAATTATCAGTGTACTTCATTTTAAATGTATAATCCTTCCATTACACTTATCAGGCCAGGGAAACATTGTGAAATTTCCATCTGGGATATTCTGAAATGTTAGAATAAACTTCTCCTTGGTTTTACAAATTTCTATCGAGCAGGAAGGACATAATTCAAAGAGGCAGTCATATCCTGCCTGAAGAGCTCGAGGAATCAGAGACCACGGCTACTTATTAAAAATTGTCTATAAGGATATCTTTGTAGATGCCATGTGCTAGATAAAGTAAAATTCTGAAACTGATCATAGAACCACTGTGCTACAAATGTGGCAACACATTTTTTTATTTATTTAGAGTAAGATGTGTTAACATCCAGCATGACAAAATTTGTACAAAGTTCACAATTTAAAAATGAAGTCTCACAGCAACTTGTGATTCCACACATTTATAGCAAAATTAAAATGTCAACAAATCCATGCCGTGTAGTACAAAAATAAATCAAACTTCAGTTCCACAGAGAGCACAATAAATAGTTTATACAAAATTCTGTCTTAATAAATGATTACTTAAATTAACTTAGAAATGAATATGAACAATAAGTTATAATAAATAAACTCTGATGACTCACAATAATTTCATATGAAAGGTCAGCATTCTAATATGTGACACTTTTGTGATCCCTATATAATAGTCACAGATAACTTTTGATTTGATATTATGTACCAACATTAGATGAGCAGCAGATTTGTGCTTAAAATCCCTTTCCATTGTACATAGGTGATAACAATAAGAATCCAAAACTGATACTATCTATTACTCTACTGAAAGCATTACTATACTGGCAAAGAAGCTGCAGACACAATGCAGTGGAAAAATGCATATGCCATTATGAACAATGAAAGCCCTAAAAGGAGGCTAGGGCAAAAGTACAATATATATGGCAGAAGGTGAACAACAAGCACCTTGCTTCAGCTCTCAAAAAGGCAATTCTGAGCATGGCAGCTACAACTAATAGCACAACAGAAAAAGGGCACTGTACAGATAAGATACTGCAGAGCCCCAAAGTAATTACATAATCTTTTCCCAGCTAGTTATTAAAGTCCTCGTGGAAAACTGTAAGCTTTTGTACAGTGAATAGTATAAAGTGCCGCTGGGATATACATATATTTATACATATATATATATACCGAGGTTGAGTATTGTATCAGAATATTTGTTGTGAGATCCCTGTAGTCTCCCTTAGCAATATTACTGGATTGGCCATAATGGCTTCCACTATAATTTGTTCTAGTTTAGTGTCACAAGGCTAATGACACAAGAAATTGCACACCTCCGTATGGATATATAGGGCAAGGTAAGTGCAAATAGTCAACTGGCACATTGTGGGGACAATGACCCTGTAAGTCCTGTTCTGCTAAAAATATTTTTATTTTTTACAAAATCCATCTTTTTCATAACAAAATTTTAAAGTACTTTTGTACTTTCTGCATAACATCAAGACATGGAAGGAAAAAGATATGCTATCAAATTTAAATAAATTCGACATCCGTTAAACACAACACATCACCAAATTTACTACTTAAAAAAAGAAAAATGTAGTAATAAAAAGTGGTCTTATGCATACATATAGTGCAGTCATTTTGAAGAAAACAATCAAATCTTGAAGATACAAATAAGTTTTATCTTAAAATGATCCAGTTTAAAGCAAAAAAAAAAGTGCCGAAGTATATTTAGTTACATTAAAAATTTGATTGCATTCATTTTTGCAATAGGTAATAGTAGAACGAATACATAGCATATGTGAATGCTGCAGTAATGACTGTTCTCAACTAAAAGCAAAACATAAATGTTGAAATATTAAAAATGGGATCAAATGCTTGGCCAAACAAAAGGAAAAGTCTTTACTGAACTGCATTCCCAACTACAGAGAGCAGTGAATGCAGTTCAGTAATGCTAACAGAAGCAGACCATTTGTGTTTATCCCAAAACTAAAGATGTGAAAAGGCAATATTAATTTTAAAATATTGTCCTCCATCTTGAATTGGAAATACAGAATTTCTGAAAGATGAACTACATTGCTATAACAGATAATTCAGAGGGGCACTAGCAGTCCAGCAGAGGTAAGAGAATGTTGGCTCCAAAGTTTATTTGAAAATAAAAGCTGAAATCTTCACGTTGTCCACCTCTGATATAGTTCTTTTCATAATGGAAGTTCCCATATTCATACCATGTAATGCTTAGAAGTTAATTAAAAAGTGCTGTTTAAGCTGCTTTGAATCTTCTGTCAAGTTTCCATGGCTTGATGTTGTCTTACAATAAATTACCCATTTTGTATCTTACATCTAATCCATGCCATTTTCTTGGAATTCAAAAAACTCATTTTATTGCCCCCACCACACACCATCTTCCAAAAACAAAAGTCACATAATATTTTCAAGCATTGTTCAAAAATAAAGCATTTTTGCAACCAATTCTTGCTATGAAACAATATGCACACAAAATGTATTTCTTAAATCCCATAAAATCCTCCAACATGAGGCAAAATGATAGTGTTTAAAAAGTGGCTGCAGACCGCAACATTGTCATTCAAAGCTGTTTTTTTTTTTTGTCCATTTCAGTTCAAAATACTAAAACATTTAATCACTAAAGCATTAAAAAGAATTTACACTCTATTTATTTTGATCAGCTTACCTCTTCAGAAATATATATACCCCAAAAATGTGCATACATTAGCAGCTATAAACATTACATGGCATATCACACTATGTCAGCTTATATGAAAACGTACAAAATGTGAATGTATTCAAAAAACTATTCTGCAGTTACTATCTTTAAAGCAAGACATAAAATCATTATGAAGTCTTGTAAGCATAACACTGTTTCAAACAGAAATAAATATATAACACTTTCTGGTAAATTACAGCAGCAAAAAACAAGAGGCATCCTTTTTTTAAGCAAGACTTTCACCACTATAGCAGCTGTTCAGACCTGAATTCCTCTCACAGCCTGCTTTATATTTTCCAGTAGGGCTTTATTTTCTGGACTCTGATAACGATCTTGATTTGTATACATGTCCGTCAAAGTGGTCACGTAAGCATCAAAATTTTGTTCATTGATTGGTTCCTACGAGATATTAAATAGTAGTTCATATACAACTTTTATTTTCTTAATTGTATATTCATTTAAGCATAACATATTATCAAGGCATAACTGCCACCATTTTTTATAATATTTAAAATGCCTATTTAGTTCTTACTTAATTTTTTTTACAGGATACACCGGAACAGGCCCTCCATGTCTTTGTTAGCAGTTAAATGTATCTTTATGGTTTCAGTGCTGTTACCACAAATATCCAACTGGTTGATGAAACGTAAACATAAAAAAAGACATCTATTGTATGAAGTGAACTGAAGATCTCCAAATTCCTTAACTTGTGCTCTCAATCACTTAC